TTAGTAATTTGCGTATTTTTACATTTAGATTTTTTTTTTTGTACTCTCTGAACCAATAGCTTTGTTTTCTGGATGTATTTTATTACACCTGATAGACAAACACCAACACCACCAAAGGCTCATATAGTTTTGGGACTCAGCCTATACCAATTGCTACATTTGCATGAAATGGTAAATCTCACTTGCAGAGTTTTCACCACACCACAAATTCTGCTGCAAGCTTTTTGCCTTTCTGTTATCATTTTACTTTCATGTTGGAATGAAATTTTAAGTGTTAGTAAGACAAGACTTGCACAAAACTGTAGCTGCTCCAAACCACAGCCTAGCACCTGCTGAAAAGCATGATCTAACAAGTCAGCCTTGTCCAAGTGAAATCACCTGGATGTGATGCCACTCAGCTGTGGGGCATCATCAATTAAAGTCACCTGGCAACCAACTGTAGAAGGTTATAAAGGGCTGCAGCTACCCTACTGCAGCACTATCTTCATTAGCTCTGGAGAAAGCATGGCCTTCTGGCTTGAGCAAGGATGCCTTTCGGCCTACAAGAAGGTGGTAAGTGAAGGGATGCATTTATGATGTATTTTTCTAACTGTTGAAAGTTTGGCTAAAGTGTGGTCACAAGTTTCCCTGCAAAACCTCTCTTTATGTTCCTAATTCTTAAAACAAGGCAAAGCTAGGGCTGGTGTGTCTGCTTTGTTTTTTTTTTTTAAATACTGGTGTGTATAGTATGGAGAACAGGCAGGTGCTTGAGGCAGAAGTGGCTGTAACAGTGAGATGTGAGAACTTCTTTTCATGCTTTGCTCACATTCCTGTTACAGGCCTCTGCAGGGTCTAACACAGTGCCCAGTGAAGTAGGAAGCTTGAGGTTTGTATGGCATCTGAAATGAAGCACAGATACTCAAGAGAAACTGTGCTCCTCCAGCATAATAAATGGAAAACAAATACATGTCAGTCAGTATGTAAGAAATGCCTTGCTGAGTTTGACCTTAGCCCGGTGCTCTGTCTGCAGCACTGGCAATAAAGGCAGTGTTTAGTGAGTGTAGGTGAACCTCACTGCTTTCTGTAGGTCTTTCCAACAGCATCCACAATCATTAGATTAAGGACGTTAGAAGGCGAATCCCTCCTTTAATTGCTGGCCCAGCCTTAAATGGTGACAGTTAGTGAGGCAAGAACTCCCTTTATAGAAGCCGTGCTGACTTTCTCAATAGATTATGTGCTCGGTGATCTTAGCCTTTGCTATAGACCCTACTGCTTTAGCAGGGATGAAAACTTTATTCACCGACTTGGAGCTCGCAAGACCCTCTCGAGTTCCCTTCAGATGGGAGCTGCATAATGACTGTGCCAGCGGACTGGCAGATTGTGGGTCCACAGTGGCAGCTTATGTGCCCTGGCCTGTGTGTCTGCAACTTTGCACCGAGCTCCTTCAGGGCTCTTGTGTGAATGCTGTTGGTCTTAAATACTCTGTTGTGGTGACCTGGCTTATCTATTTGGCCTAATACTGATGCACCTCCTCTGCCCTGTTGGCTGCAAAGAGCGTTTTATGTGGGTAACAAGATGCAGAATGACAGGTGATGGGATACAGTATATGACATGACCCTACCTGTCTATATGCTCCAAGAAACCTTTTTCTCCCCATTGCTGAAGCAGCTGTGATATCATAATCTAAAGAAATAAAACACATCATCAACACCGTATTTTAAACAGGACTGTTCTGCAATCATCAAAAGATATATACAGCCTGATGCATTATTCAAAACTCCACACAGGCAAGAAAGTGCAAGCAGGGTCTCTTGGAGCCCTTTATAAACCGAGGTGGCAACAGCAACAGGCCGCTGTTGTCCGTGTTACTGCTGTCTCCAAGGATCATGGCACTGTTTGGGACTTAGGGTGGGAGGAGGGAAAGATGGATGGAGAGCTAAATGTGGTAATCGGGTAATAATGTATATTGCTTTACCTTCCTGCCCGTATCAGCCTTTCTGCTTTGATACTGCCTCTATGATGAACTAATGGAGATGGAAGATGGAAGCCATGTTTAGATGTGCTCAAAGTCTCCTCTCCTTGTTACTAACTGTAAAGGGGCTGTAATCCGCAGCCTGCTTTGTAATGTCTCTGTGGGCTGCCAGTATCGCTCTAATTACAAAGTAGCAGGGAAACCAGAAAAAACCCTAAGTGTTTCTTCCAATGTATTCTTTACATTGAGGTTTTTCAAGTGAACCTACTAGCAAGAGATACAAAGTATTTTAAATCTTGTTTCTTGAAATCTGAAGGTTAAGGGCACGTTGGCTGTGCTCTCCAGGCACTGAGACACCCTCTAGCTCTGGCTGTAATTTCTATGGTGGTCTCTTCTCCTTTGGCAGAATTGGCAATGTATGTGCTTACTATAAACCAAACTGGAGAAGTGCAGAGCCACTGCAGAAGTGCAAAGCTGTCTGTGGTTTTATGACTTGGAACATGTTACCTTCTCTAAATACAGTTCAGTCGGCAGTTTGGTACTTGCCTGTGTGAAAGTGCTGGTGTGCATTGTTGAAACCTGAATGTGTAGAATAACTCTGTCAATGAGCGGCTTGGGACCTGTCAGAAAACCTATTCTTAACCTACAAAACAAAAAAGAAAAAAGTTACTACAGAAATGCAATGAGTTAATACTTTGTATGAGTTACAGTTTAACTTGTAACTGGGAAAATGTGTAACTGCTTGATTGATATTGTAAGGATCTTTTATGCATTTCAGTTTATCTATATCTTAATACTGCCCTAAGCCCCAGGCTTATGCAACTTATGAGCTGAGTATCAAAGTCATGAAATAAAAACACTTAAGGGTTTTAATGCTTATACTAGCTTCTAAGTTCTGAGACTTCAGGACATATCCCATGTTTGTAAGCTTTCCTCTGCAACCAGAAAGATTACATGAAGGAAAGCCAGGTTTTCACATAATGAAAAATCGTAAATGCTCAGGCTCTATGAAAAACAGATGGGAAGTGGCGAACAGCTTTACTCCCTTTCACTACTGCAGAATAAATGGAATTTAGAGTGATGAACTAGATTCTTACTCATGCTTCAGTTCTTATGACCCATCTTTACAGACTGGCTGAAGTTTTCCTTTGAAGAAAAACAGAACCAGTGTGCGTCATTTTGCACTTGCATCATGCCTTTTTGCAGTGTCACTTCTGAAAGTGCAATCACACCTAGCATCATGTTGTCTCCTCACTTTCTCAGGGATGGGGTTACAGTCCACTAGCTGCCAGTGCAGAATTCACATTACTTTGTTATATCTATTAAGATAATAAAAACAAGTTAAAAATCAATTATATTGGCTTATGTCAAATGGAAGACAGACAGCTTAGTTTTTCAGGCAGGTGGAAACAACCTGGAAACTGGAAGGCTAGAAGATGGGCAATCAGTATAACCCTATGAATAGTCTGCGGAGAATGACACCATCATTTCTTTTCTGTATTACAAGTTCAGGGAGTCTGCAGGAATGGTAAGAGATAGAAGGAGAAATGGAAAAAGAAGAGAGAAAAGCTCCTAGCAGTTCCATGAACAGAGCTGGAATCTAGCATCTATCTTTCTGCCTAAATGGCATCTGCAAGAATGGGCTGCCTGGGGAGAGCGGCTGAACTATCAGTACCAGAAGAGAAACAATCTGGAGGTGAATGCCTGCCAACAGATGACATGAAAAGTGAGCAGACTGAGAAAAGCTGTGGAGCCAAAAGGACATTCCAGAAATGGATAGGTATTAGATGAAAAAACACTATGAGATGTCTGATCACTTTGTATGAAGTCTTGTGCCTCAACCGAACAGGCAATGCTGAGCAGTCTGAAGCTGGCCTTACCCCGATGAGAGAATTTTGGAGAAAGAGTCAGTCCTGATAACTCGGCCATCCACATCCATTGAGAGGAAAGTTGGAGCCCATGGCTTGGAAGAAAAATAAAAATAAAATTCAAGGTGCTAGTAAGGATTATGATGGAATTATTTTCTTTACTATGAAGACATAATTAATTTCTTAAAGAAATATTTTGATAGTAAATATTTCAGATGTGCACTCCAAGGGAAAAAATGCAGTAACTTGCACACAAGTGATTGTTAGGCTAGCTGTCTGCGACGTGATTACAACATTCCATGAAAGTCATTGAGAAATCAGCCTTGTTATTTTCTGATGCTTAGCCCACTGTTAGCATACAAGTGTTCAGTTCAGGTTTTGGTATGATGCCATAAGTAGGAGAGACAAATAATTATTTCTTTGCCAAAATTTTTTTAGGGAGTAAACAGATACCGTAATTGCTAAGATGGGGCCCTGTACTTTTAGCTTTATCTAGAAAAAGGAAATGGGAAGATATGACCAAATTTTGATGATCTGAGTTCAGCACATTTTTTCCTTACCAAGAATTCTATTTTTACACCCTCTCCCCTTACACTAACGAAGCCACACAATGCTATTCAATGAGTAAGTGGAAGAGTTTTATTGCCTCCTCCCACAAAAACGTATTTCAAAATAGGAAATACTGAACTGTAGCTTCTACCAATGTTTTACTGCTTTGTAAGACCAGCTTTTGTTCCTGAAGTTAGGTACTGTTGCAGACTGCAACTGCAGATCCAGGTGTGAAGACAGGTCAGCACTGGATTGCTGCCCATTTGGGGAAACCCACATGGAGGAGGGAAGCCACCTAGTCAGTACTACTTCCTGCGGTATTTGGGAGAACTCTCTCGGGTTCTCCAAAAGGCAAAGGGTTCAAAATGGGAAGAGTTGTCTGGGATGAAGGGGACGTTAAGAGGCTGCTATTTTCGAGTGCTGCTTTAGCGGCATACTTGTTTTGTTCTGGAGGCAAAGTCTTTGCCATTTGCTGACTGCTGAAGGAAATTCTGTCCTGTGTAAGGCTTAAGGAATTTGAACCGCTGATTAACAGGACTGAGCAGTAACACGCCACAAAGGGGACAACAACTGAACGTAGCATAGACTGTGGGGCCTACAACTACCTTGTAGGACATGAAGGAGGAGCATGCAGGAAGATCCATGGCTTAAACCTCAGCTCTCTCCTGGACCAGGAAAGAAGATATTACTAAAGAGTATGGAAGAAAAAATTACCTTTTCAAACTGAAGAAAGTAGTAAGGATCATCTTCTATTATGAGGAAATCATATTTTCTTGCAAGCTAAAGAAATGAATAAAAAATAAAGAATCATTAAAATGTAAAGATACTGTAAGTTCAGTTCTTCCTATACCCCGGGCCTGTTACCAGAAGCATATTATGATCCTACGGATTGCTCATTCACTACATACAAGGCCCTATCAAGAGAAGCTTTTAAATGCCCAATTTAGACATCAAGCAATTAGAAGAGCAAACATTGTACCTGCTGTACAAGGACACGTGACTAACTGAAGGTCCGTTCCATGTAGCATTCAAACTGTGCAGAAAACTTGCAGGAAGCCCATGGCAAAGACACCAGCCAGCAATGGGCTGCTATTGCAAAAACAATTTATCTAATGCATAGTCCACCTCTAAAGAGCTGTCATGAAAGAGGTTCTGCTAGAAACAAGTTCTAGGAGGAATGTCTACTGGACCAGTAATGGGCCCAAATACCAGATGTGGGGTATCCTCAACTGAAATGACTGACGTTTTCCCATTTCCACCTATAAAGTTCACAAGGCCCCAGCGACATACCTGGTAAATCTCCTTCTTGCGCTCTGTGGTCAGAGAGTTTCCAGTTGGGTTGCACCCATTTGGAATAGTGTACAGGAATTTGGGGAGGTGGCGGCTACGATTTTTTACATCTTCTGGGCTCCAAGCAGACAGAATTTCTTTTAGAGCTTTTGGAATAATGCCATGTTGGTCACTAGGAACATTAATTATGTTACAACCCAAGGGTCTCAGCTGTTGATAGGAGGAACAAAACTGTCATAATCGCATAATTCCAAGGTCTGTCTTTTGTCATTGGCATTGTAAAATTTCACTGATATAAAGTCTTTCTGATTTTATAGCTATCTCAAGCTCCATTTGCTCATGATTCAAAAGAATGTTTGCCTGAATTTGCTGTGAAGTTTGTCAGACTTAACACATTACTCTTTATTTGCTCTGTTAAGCCAACTGAGAAGGAACGGTAGCTCCTCTGTCCAACTACTGCTCTTCTCTGGGAAATCACACATGGTTTTGCAAGCAGAAGGGGATTTTGTGAATTTCAGCTGTGTTCTCTTGGGACTCCTCATGCTCTCACCACAGACAGGCAGTTCACAGCACCTTCATTTCCTACTGACAATTTACACTACTTCAGTGGAAGTGCCAGAACTATAAGCTACTCTTCACTGACAAAGGGCAAAGAAACTGTTCTCAATAGATACATTCAGCAATACAAAGGAGAATGAAATGATGCTACGGCAATGACATGTTGACAGCAGTATGAAAAAAATATAGGTAAAATACCAACAAAAAAGCATGCTGTCTTCCCTCTGTGGAATTTCAATTTGTACTGTGTAGCACTCTGCATTTTAAGTAGAAATGCAAGTTGCTGCATTGTCAAAATATATTCCTAAAAGTATATTTGATTAAACAAGATATATTCAAACTTAGCACAGCACACAATAACAAAATTCCTTTTGATGCAAGAGGAGACTAGACTAGAATGGTGGTGTATTATCTATTCTAACACTTCTTACAGTTCTTATGCATTTTGAGTTGACACTTAATTACATACCGATTAAGTTAATTTTCAGAGGTAAACTTACTAGTTCATATCTTCATATATGGATGTTTCAGGCCTATTCCAATTTTATACTATTTATAGCTATGGTATAATCAGACAATGAGATACTTCAGGTGAATGTGCTGACATGTTAAAATACAAACTTCTTATAAATTTGCTTCAACCTGACTAGGCTGTGATGGCTTGCTTTCCAATCCCAAATGTGACCTTAGCCCTTGAATGAACTAGGATTTGGAAGAGGAACTTCTGTCCTGGGCGTAGCTTTTATAGAACTTTTAGTAGAAAAGTTTCTATGAATTAATATTTATGAACTGGATGAACACTAAAAACTTGGTTCTTAGATGTTTTTACAGTAAATACAGACAGTGTCTATAAGACTGCAGATCAGGTAGTAAATTGCATTTACTTCAAATGTAACATTCACAATGTTTTGTAGCTAAAGAATACTTACAGCTGCTAGTGTCCCAGAGTATGTGGGTGCATCCAAAAGGATGTTGTCCCCAGGATTAATGAGCATTTCGAACACCTGTAAAAGAAAAGAGTCCATTTTAGAAAGATTGTGCCATTCTTGTATGCATGCTTCATACTTCTGACTTCTTAGGGGGATTAAAAATCTTGATTGGATATTGGTAATTCTGTAACTGTTTCATTATGTTGTCTGTGAGAAAAGCAATGAACAGATGAAAAATGTGCTTTAGAGCCAAATGAAGCTAGGTAATCAGCTGGAGAATACCAACTTGAAATGGCAAGACAGTGCTCTAGAACAGAAACAGTGCTTCAGTTACAGAAAGGATCAACTGAACAGCAGTGAGAGTGGCTGGAAAGGGTAATTATTTAAGGAAGTCTAACACAATTAGAATTGAGTTATGGTAAAGCAAACAATGCACCTATGTACTTATTACTGCCCTACTTGAGTAACATGAAATGTTACCTTACAGTGTATTTTCTGTCGGGCTCTTTGGTTTACTCGAACATTTGTGCAGTCCTGACAGATTAGCCTGCCACACCAGTTTTCTTTCAGTTCTATTATCTTGTATTGATAACACTGAGAAATATTGAACAAAGTACCCTGCGTATAGTTATACAGGGGCACTGAATGCTGAGTATAACTGAACTGATGGAAGGATAAACATCTCTCTGAAAGAAATGCTTTTAACATATGAAGCTTTCTGGTCTTACTTTACACAAGCCTTCCTGGCTGCCGGTTGTGACACACACTTCCATTTGTCCTTGCTCAGGACTGTAGCTGGCTGTGGGGGGATTATGTAGATTCCGCTGGAAATCCTTTAGCCAAGACAACAGCTCTGGAATCCTGAAATGTGAATAAAATAAGGTGTATCTAACATCTTATATAGAGTGAAGCTAGGCTGTTCCTCTAAATCACTCCCAAATCTAGCACACAGTCCTGAGTCTGATTTCGACAGTCACACGGGTACACTTAGATGCTGATTTTATGACTGCTTTATCAAATGATGAAAATGAGAAATGTTTCTTATGGAAAAGCAGAAGAGATGGGCATCTGTGGCCCACACACCAAATTATCATACTGAAATCTGGGCAGAAATGATTTGCCAAGGTTGGAATAGAGGTGGAGGCTGAACATTATCCATTCCTTAGGAGTGATCTTTCCATACTCGAATGTCGCAATGTGACAAAGCTCGCAATACTGCTAGTAATAGGCTGCAGATAATGAGGATTTCTAAAACAGATTTTTTCAAAAAATACGTCTTAAGATCTTGTAGGATGTTCACAAATGGCTGGGTTCATTTAAACACTAAGAAAAGTCTTAACTTCACTGATTAATGCCCTGTGTGCCTCTGTAGGTACCTCAATATTTTTGCAAACCTGTCACAACCCTGACTCAGTGCTGTCTGCTGGGGAGTTCACATGACTGCTGAAGTAACTTAAAGATATGCAATTTTTGTACTAAAAATGACTGTAAATACCTCCATTCAACTACCACAAGTAGTACATACTGAGTTTAATATATGGTGCCAAAGGAAAGCAAAACAAATACTCCAGAATGTGGAAACTGTCTTGCAATGCAGTATCTTTTAATGACTACTTTATTGCAAAACAAAAAATGATTCCTCCTAGTGAATGTGGGAGTCTGGATTCTCAAATACTAACGGCCAGGAAATGCTCTGGCCTAAGAATTACTAGTATCAGCAGTTTTTTTTAAATTACTCATCTGCTCAAAACTTTCCACTTAAACTGAAATGTAAATAGCGAGGCAAATTGAAAGAGGTTAAACCTGTTTTTGCAAAATGGGTTTTACAAACAGGTTTTAAAAACACAGATGAACTAATACAATAATAAAGGAATTTATGATCTTTTGATTCTGGTATCTTAAAGTGCAAGCAGCTGTGACAGGTACCCTGCTGAGGCGGAGTACTGGAGAGCTCTCCTCATCAGATCTTCCCCGATCTCAACAGCAGTTCCATGTCCAATGGCAACAGTCGCCCTCTTAAATGGAAAAACGTTAGGGTTTGGTGCCCCTCCAGCCAGCGATATGAGGGACGGAGGAGACTTCTGCATCAATTCAGCTAGAGTAAAAGGAAAAGACCTTGGTTACAACTTGAGTATTGCAACACTGATCATATCTTTTAGTCGGTATATAATAATGGTCTGGAGAAGTTTGTTCCCTTTTTTCACTTTCTTTTTTTAACTGTCACGAAATCAAAAGGATGATAATTCTTTTTAAACTAGCCTTTTTAAATAGGATTAAATGGAGGAGCGGGTGGGAAGGGAGACACAGGTAGGACAGACCAAAACAAAAAATCATCTTTGTTTTAAGATAAAAAAAGCTATTTATAATTTATCTGGACTGTTCTACTATTAGAAATTTTTTTCTGTGACTGATGTCTTTTAAGCTTCAAGAATTTAAAATCTTAATGATCTTCTGTTTAGACTGACTTGGAATGATTGTTTTTTGTTCAGTCTCACTTTAACCAATGTGGCATTAGTGCAGCTGCTGATAGTTACATATATGATTATAGCTTTTCCATAAGGGAGTAGGAACAATTCTGGCAGCCCAGCTTTAGTGGCAGAGGTACTGTGTAAATAATTCAGTATGAAGAAAATGTTAACAACTCTTGCTTTAAAGTCACAGTTTCACAATCATTCAGATCCAATTTAAGCAGCGCAGACCGGATCTTAATCCAGCAAGGGCACTCGATTGTGTTAAATCGAAGAGCTCACGATATGGCATTTGTGCTGGCTTCACAGCTTTACGTCAGATACGAGAGGCCAGATGACACCAGATCTGGCTTAAAGCTTCCTGTTATGTTTATTCTCTGCTACTTATTAGCAAGCTTGAACACAGGGAGTTAATTCTTATCAGTTCAGCAATATGGGTTATGTCTGTGACTTTTGGTCTACTAAAGAGATTTACCTTGTCATCAGAACTGCAGCCGCAATGTGCCTTTTTTGCACAAGCCATGCTACTTAATATTTGTGTTATGATGCCTATCCAGGTATCACTTGAAGTATAGAGACTGACTAGAGTCAATCAGTTGATTTAGCTGTACCTATATGAAGCATTTTAAGCAGAACAGCAAATGCCAACCCCTAACCAAGGGAGGTAATTAACCCCTGAAGGCTTAGCTAGTCGTGTCTGTCTTGTGCTCGGATTCTCTTGGGTCCCTGTAGCTTTCAACTGAGTAAACAAGTAGGCAGTCAACCTTTCCTATCTGTCACACAGAAGACTATGTAATGTGGTACCCTACAGACAGTGTAATACAGAAAAGGAAAGTGTAGTAACCTGAGGGAGTGGGGGGTGAGGAATTTATGGACATTAACAGGACACAGGAGAGCTAGGTGGAAAGAAACATTACACCAGGGCTAAATTTCAAGTCATTAGCAGTTGCTTGTTCCTGGACAACCAGTGTAAATTCAGTAGCAAACTGTGCCAAAAGCCTTCAGAGGCAGTAGCAGAGATTTTTCAGACACATGTGGAAGTGACAATACTATTTCTTCTGTCTGGGTTTCTGAAATGGTTCAAGGCTATTCACTTTATTTTTCTTTATACCTGCTTGACATCTCAACTTGACAAAAGTCAAAGCAGTTAATGGGCCTTGCTTGTCAGCTTACAGCACAGTTTTTTTTTTCAAGTCTTTAGCTGTGATACCCCAGCAGAGTCCAGCAGGTAGAATGATACCCTTCCAGAGAACCTGGAAAGAACAGGGATATACTCACTCAGAAGTCTTATCGGAGATGCTTTTCTTGCTGCACTCACAGTGGTGATGAACCGAGAGTAATTCATGTCTATGGGAACTTGGATGTGAATCTAGAAAAGTGACTAGGAACTCCAGTGCTTTTAGTATGTGTCTCTCCCACAAGTAATGCTTACAATTTGTCATCTTCATAGATGTGCTCTAACATAAATTAAATGTCAACTTATTCACGTTAAAATCAGTGCTGGGATTTATTTTCCTTTTTGAATTAAAGGGAAAGGTTTCTACATCATACTGACGGGTTGTGTCACAGCCTCCCAATGACACTGGCACGGTGAGATTAGGCCAGATGCTGCTGTTCTGATAAATGCAAACAGCAGTACAGTGTTGATCTGGGGAATGTGCTGGTGTGACAGTGAACAGGAAAAAGTCCTTTTCCCCTCCCTGTACTGCCAGCTGTGGAATTTTAAAGGTAGATTGCAAATTGGAAGATCTGTCAGATCTGAAACAACTACCAGCTCTTTTTTAATATGAGAACCCAGCTTTATTTAGCTGTATTAAGTATTGCATTTCAAGTGCTTTAACAATTGCAAGGCATCATTGAGTCACAATGCTTGCCGAGTTAGAGGTGGGTTTTTTGTGTGTGTTGTGGTTTTTTTAGGAAGGATAATTCGGAATGTCTCTTGAAATGCTTCAGAGGAGTGTTTCCCGCCCGCTTTTCCCTGGTGCCCACAGAGACAAAAAAAAGGGGAGCCTCACGGCCCGCTCTCCTCCGTGAGGGAGGGGAGCACAGGACTGAAATGCAGGGCAAGGACAGCCTGTCGCTCTGACTGCCGCTTCCCAGTGTGCTTCCTCTGAATTCACTGAAAATAATCCTCTGGCGACCGCAGCACCACGCATGTGCTGGCCGTTATGAAAATCGATCTGTTGAGCAAGGCTGCTTTAAAAAAA